AATAATTGTCTTCACCTACAAATTTTAAAATTTCATTTGCATAATCTCTGAGAACTCCTAAATAAATATCAAGCCTTTTTTTTCAGAAAACTTTAAATTTTATCTATTATTTTCTCTACCCTAACTCTGTACACATCTGGTCAATTTGATTGACCTTGTAACCACCATGAAAAATACAAAATAAATCTAAATTACCCTTTTCTTTTTTCTAGAATGACTGCAACTTGTAACAGGAAACTACAGTTGTTTATCCTAAATAATTTAAAGCTCATAACAGTATAAACCCGTTTCTACTTAAATTTTATTGTTTTATTGCCTTTTAAACTGCCACACAAGTTGTAAACTATTTAGTAAATATGTAGCTAACATTACAGTATCAAATTATGTAATGCAGAAGCTACTCATAAGAATACCTCATAATTATTTCTATTATTATTATTTTTTTCTTTATCATTCTAAATCTAACCTAACATGTTTCTAATTTGTACATTTTAGTTAATTTTATAAAAATAAATAAAGAACACATGAAAAACAAGAAATATAGTACTTACCTAGATCTTTTTTTTTTGCTGTCAACTGTTGATGAAACTTAAGTCTACTCTTTTTATACTAATGATACAACTACACTAAATAAATGTTTCATTTAATTATATAATGCACTTAAGAACACAAGATAATAAAATGCAAAAAACAAACAATGTCCTATAACTATCATAATTATTGTGGCTTTCTATGTGATAAGAGCCTTTAAAAATTCAGCTAAGATAGTCTGTGTGATTCCCATGAGAAAAAATTTGAAACTGAACCAGGAAATAACAATTCTCTGACAGAAAATAACATAGTATATTATGTCATTTGATAGATTAAAACTTTGGCTTTCTATTGGTTTTATATAATATAGTACTAAATGTCAGAGAGGAATTTGTAAAAGAGAGGATGTGACAGGTGAGCATGGAAGATTGACTGATTTTCTAGTTTATTGCTCCTTAACTCTCTTGCAATGAAGTTGGTTGAATCAACTGATCTTGTAATCACTTTTACTCATTATAGATTTCATATAATAACTTTTAACCCATTGGACTTCAGCTGCTCTAAATACACGTGGAATTTTTGCAAGCCATATATCATATACGGCACACTCACATTCAACTGCCGGAGGCAGAATATACCCTATAGAGCGAATCAGCAGTCAGTGGGTTAATATACCTTGTGTATCTCCACAAAATTTGGCAGACTTTTAGTAAACATTATAGGTCTTTTGTACACAGAAAATCAGATGTTTTAATAAAGCATATTTACTAAAGATTTGTCCATGAATATATATAGCATTTCTATCTACTATTCCAAGTATTAAGTGATTTCCACGTTAACAATAAGAATACTTTTCTTCATCTCAAAAATCTCAAATTTTAGTTGAATAATCTCTAATACCTCCTAAATAAATTTATAAAGTCTTTTTCAGGTAAATTTTATATTTTATCTGTTATTTTTTCCACCCTAACTTTATACAAGGTTGGTCAATTTGACTGACTTCATAACCACCAAAAAAAATCTAAATAAATCGAAATTACCCTTTTTTCTTTCTAGAATGACTTCAAATTGTAATATGAAACTACATATGTTTATCCTAAATAGCTTTACACTCATTACAGCATACATCTATTTATACTTAAAGTATATTGTTTAATTGCCATCTGAACCCTGACTAATTACTATTCGCACCATTATAACTTGTACATCACTTGGTAAACGTGTGATTCACGTTATGCTATCAAACTACATTATGCACAAGCTACTTGTAAGTGTACCTCATTAAAAACATTATATTATTATTATTATTATTTATCTCTTTCAACAT